GAGCCCCAGGCCGAGCCATTAGTGCAGTGTGTGTGGGGGTGGGGTGGGGGGTGGGGAGGCACTGCTGTCAGAAACCAGAGGCACCAGGAGCAAACCACAGCCGTCCTGGGGAGGGCTGAAAGAGAGCCCAGAGATAAACTGGGGCTTAGGGTGCTGTTGGGATGGGGGTGTCACTGAGGTCTCAGCTTCCCAGTTGCAGACCCTGCACATCAGGCCTGGAGTCAGTCACTGACCTTGGTCCAGCCCCTTCCTCTGCTCTCCAGCCCCTGAGTAGCCCCACCTGCAATCATCTCTTCTTGCGGAGCAGACTTGGCTCTTGACCAGGCTGGAGAGTGGTGGGAAGTTTGGCATCAGCAGATCTCTCCTCCCTGTGCCCTCAGCATCTCAGGCCCCACCAGATGGGCCGGGCCTTCTTCAGGTCTCACACCAGGGACCCCCTGTCTTGTGGAGGGTCCCCCTGTCCCTAAGAGATCCCACCTCCCCACACTCAGACCTTCTGCTGGTGGGACTGGCCCAGTCCCTCGGTAACACACATTCCCTACTGCCATCCCCTAGGTACCAGAGGTTCCCTGTGACTGCACACCTTCCCCTTTCCGTTGAACATGTCTGAGAGACCCTTGATATCCAGCATCTGGGAAACCCCTTCTAGAGGTGGCCACATACTGTGCCATGGTATGATATGCTGAGGTTAACCACTCCCCCTGCTGAAGACCAGCAGGGGTTTCCAATTGTTCTAGCACAAACACTTGCTACCAATACCAGCACATGGGTCTAGACTTCCAAAAATAGAATCGCCAGGTCAAGAGGCCACTGCAGTGGTGATTTGATAGATATCACCAAACTCCCCCCATAGCAGCTCTGTCATTTTGTGCTCCCACCAGCATGGGGGGAGAGTGCATCTGTTCCCCTACAGGGGTGCTTCTAAGCCGAGGGACTTCACACCCTGAGTCCCCTGAGTGGTCCCAAGGGCAGAGCCAGTGTGTAATCTGACCAGCGTGGAAGAGGGGTTGGGTGGGAACATGCACCATTGCAGCAGTGACCTCAGGAGTTGCTGTCCACAATTCTAGTGCTGGCTAGGCTGAAGGAGGGGTCTGGGACAAACTAGAGAGCTGTGGCCCAACTCAGAGCCACAGGGTGGGCAGGAAGTGCAGGGGCCTGCAGGCTAAACACACATCTGCACCGTATACCTGGGAATTGGTGACACTTCCTGCAGGTCTGAGAAAAAAGCAGGCTTGCCTTTGTTGACTTATGTAAGTTTATTATTACTTCATCTCATTTGAAAACATTGGAGACCACCAGATTCACCTTGGTGGCTTCTGGCTGTGAGTGGTAGGGACAAAGTTCTCCCAACAAAACGTGATCATACTGTTCCTCAGCTGTTCTTCTGACAAGCCAGGCTATTTGGGGACTGTCCTGTGAACATTTTCTGAGTCTACCACACTATGATTTATTTTTTCTTCTTTCTGAGACCTGATCTTGCTATGCAATTTAGGAGGCCATGAACTCACTATGAAGCCCAGGCTTGCCTGGAATGCCTCACCCTCCTGAGTGTTGGGATCACAGGCATCAGCCACACACTATATATGTATGTGTGTGTGTGTGTGTGTGTGTGTGTGTGTTTATATATATAT